GAGAGAGAGAGAGAGAGAGAGAGAGAGAATAAATGTTTTACGGAGCGGGTTGTCCCAGCCCGTGAGACATGTATTTACTTGGCCTAATGTCCTGTCTTGTTGTGCGTTTGCGTGAGTGCACCTTTAAGTCTAACTTTTGTAACGTCTACTGCCATTGTTAACGAAAAAGACAAATTTTTCCCTGCGAGATGAATAAAGATTGTTATTGTCATTGTTTTTGAATATGTGTGGTTTATACAACCCCAGCGACACAATTCAGATCATTTAGGAGGCGGGTTTCGAACAGTCATGCCTGTCAGAACCAATCCAGGCTGAGAGGGATATAACATCTTAACAGTAAGACCGAGATACTCGATAAAATTCTCACGACTCGGGAATCGAAGTCGGGTTTCCTGCGTGCGACGGTGAGGCGCCTAACCGCTACACCACAGACGTCCGTGTCATGAAATCGATCAGCTGGAAAGGAACATTTGTTCCAGGTAGGGCGATTAGGTTTCAGGCCCCGCTCACATTTTACGTATCAGTCAAGAATCACGCACCGGCATTAGGCAAGACAGTAGAAAATATAATGCATTCATTGGTACTCGTTCATTGTCCATTGCATAGGTTTAACGCCCTTTTCAAGGAAGTAAGGTTACTGACGAGGTGGGACTTCCGAATTCAACGTCCATCTCCGAAAGGATCGAGACAAATGGGCGGAGAATTAAAAAGAAAAAACAAGTTAAGAACACCCACTTGGGAATTGGAAACACGGTCATTTGCACCATTATCCAGCAGGATACTAACTGGGCTAATTCTACGCCCCACTGGAGCAAGACCGGGGTACAGTCGAAGCTGCTGTAACGGCCACCTGTCTAAGTCAATCACATCTGTGCAGACGACATATTATTATCTGCATTTATAAGGAAACACTTCAAGAAAAAAGCTATCGTCAAGGACTTGACTGTGTTTTCACGATTAAAAGTAGATTACATCGCTCGGGATAATTATCCATCGGCCTAGTCTGAGATCTCCCCCCCCCCACCTTTGCACAACTGAATTAATTTTTCTTTAATACATCGCACTCTATTTAGACTTATTGTCTGGGAAGGGATGTATGAGTACCAGAAGTCTCAGCTGGCAGCTGGGTTTCTGTAGAAATCACCCACTTGGGAAATATTCTGGAAAATTCCTTATTAAACATGCTGTAACCTTTTTAAAATCTGTAGAAAAACGACCCACTTGGATTGTGTAATTGTATTTATTAAGGAATTTTAAAAAAATACAACTAAAAGTATTTACAAAAACGTTAATCTGTTAAAATAAATTGACACAAGTCACTGGGCAAAAGCTGTAGTCTAGGTTCGATGGTTCAGGCAATATTGGACGATACATTGCGTCACGAATGTTTGACCGTTTTAATGTCTGATTTTCTTGCTTACAATACATAACCCCTATCAAGAGGACACATTATTCGGCCCCTTGTCAACTCGTAGACTTGTATTATGATAACCAAAGCTGTGCACTCTGACGTAATTTTGGTTGACCATAGCCTAAAACGTACCATTTGACTCTTTTTGGGGGAGCAAATGATGGACAAAAAGGGAAAGGGGGCGTGCACACACGACTAGAAGAAGCTACTCGGACACTGGAGATCTACAGCGAGAATGGTGTTTTGCCTTACATTTGCGCGTTCAATGTGCGCATCAGCCAAAGACCTATTATAAACTCCTTTGCATCAGAGCGGCTACATTTTTGTAGAGAGCATAGAGTGGCGGCCATGACCGTGCCCAATCTAGAATGTGTCATAATTCAAGTCTATGAGTCAACCATAATTATTGCTGATTCCCGCATAAGTATTTAAAGACTCGGACATCTGCCGCACTTCGTTATAGATGGTTTATGACCGCGTTGGTCTCATTTGCAGTTACTCCTGGACAGTCTTCTGTGCATGAGCGTACACTTTTATATTTGTAGTTGTAGGTTTGTGTGTGTGTGTGTGTGTGTGTGTGTGTGTGTGGTGAGTGTGTGTGTGGGAATGTGTGTGTGTGTGTGTGTATACTATACGTGTGTGTGTGTGTGTGTGTGTGTGTGTGTGTGTGTG